AGAACAATGTCATGTTCGTGAACAAGCCCATCTTCATTACAAAGACTGCTTATGTGTTTTGGTGAATTGATTTAAGAAAGTGCCACCCCAATCCAGGACCTGCCCTACCACCCTGCTAAGTGGCATCTACTTTTCTTGGCAGATGTGGCACAAAGCAGTGTCAAGTCTGCTGTGTTCTCCTGAAGACAAAACTCTGTGTGTCAACCTGGATTCCTTTCTCATGAACAACAAGTGCGAGTCTCAAATAGCCCATGTTGTTCCTCTAAAATAATGTATACCTTAAAAGATGTTTTTTGCTGGTATTGAAATTTTTGCACCTAGTCCACTTGGTTTCTGCATGTGGAATGGATAACAATGCTTCCTTGTCAGACACTAAAATAAGATCTCTTGGGCTCTACCATGTGACAAAAATTTCAATAACTATCTTTGTGATGGTACTGGTTGAGTTCTTTATCAGGATATGCCCAAAGTGTTCAGGCTGATAGCAAGATAGAAATGTCCCTCAGTATTTTTAATATGCTGAATTTATTCCAAAAGAAAGGGAAATCATAGTTAATTAATTGAATTTCAGTCTTGCCTTTGCATAATTGCAACTTCAGCTAAGTAAAGCAACTAGTCTCTTTGCAAAACTGACCACATTTGACTGATCAGCTCTTCTTGGTATAGGGCTTTCAGTAGAAATGAAATATTTGCTTTTGCAGTACCCTACACTTTGCTTTCTGAATATTCAATGTGTTTGTTTTTCTAGAGGGCTAGAGACCCCTGGACAAAAGGGTTCAGCAGGAGAGGGTGCAATAAAAAGAGGTTGTGAGTCTTTAACCTTGAGCCTGATAATGAATGTGAACCCAATTCTGGTTCTTGGCTTAGATAAAGCCAGGTAAACATTTGAGTATAAGCCCATATTTTACCACTCTAGTACAAATGGGTTATCGATATTGAATTGTGGGGAGGGATATTTTTGTATTTGGCCAGAATGTTTATTTTTCTTCAGATGGAGGTAAAAATCCTCAGTCTTTAAAAATGTGTTAGTGTTTATCCTTTGTTTGTGAAACAGAACTATTGAAGTCTTACTTTCAGCAAATCTGAAACACTTTTCATTGCAGCAGCAGAGAAGAAGGAAGTGGAAACTAAAAGCCATGTCAGAATGTCCTGAAGTGTGATCCCCACCCTTACCCCAGTCCTTTGTTAAAAACATTTTTCTGTTGTCTCCATTCCTGTAAGAAAATGGAACCATGTTTCTTGCTGTTTATCATTTCCTTTTCATTAGCTGTCTCCATTACATTATTGCCATCTTTATGATATATATTTTTCTAGTGTGTTTTCATACAATTTATGTGCATAGAGAGCAGGCCTACAAAGTTTTAAAGATGCCATGAAATAACCTAATATCCTACATTTACCATCACAAAATCTCTGAACAGGGATTTAATTAGTCTATAGATCATAATTTAAAAATTAGCCAATACAAAAATCTTGGGAGATGGTATTCTATGAGTTTCCTAGATTGCGTATATGCAGAATTGCTAAAAGTGTGCCTCATTCTATAGATTCACAAAATAGTTTGGAAACAAGGCAACAATATATGCACACTACTTTAGAATAGGCTAGATGCATGCTGAACCCTCTTAGTATCTTCTACACTGAAAGTCAAACTAATTTGGCCATGGCACATTCTTTCTAGAATAAAAATAAAAATAAAGAATATCTGTATTCAATTGCTTACAGTTTAAGCAGCAACAAGAAAGCTTATTCCACCAACTACAGATGGTGTAGAAATGTTGCCTGAAAACTCCTTGATATTTTATGAGGGTCTTTTTACTATGTTCATTTCTGGCCAAATGTGAAAGAGAGCTTGCCAAAGTTCTCTGCGTCTACATATGAATCATCCTTGGTTGATTTCTCCTAACTTTATTGGGAGAAAACTTTATTCTTGACTCTGCAAGGAATAATTATTGAGGAGGAATAATACAAAACATTTTCTTAAAAAAGAAGAAACACTGATGGGCTCCCATGGGCCAAATGCAACCCAGACCCATGGTAGCTTCCAGACAGATTCTTGAGATCAAAGTGATCTCAAGAAGGCAGAGTGATAAATAAAGTCTCTCTCTCTCTCTCTCTCTCTCTCTCTCTCTCTCTCTCTCTCTCTCTCTCTCTCTCTCTCTCTCTCTCTCTCTCTGAATTTGAGACATGATTGTATTAAAAATAAGGCAAACTAAATTTCCTAAATCTTGAACTTTTAACTCTCAGCCCATACTTACCAATGTCATTATTTCATTGCTATGCCTTCTATCACTTGAATTATGAGGGAAAACAATCCGAAAATATATAGCTCCTGTCTGCAAAAAAAGGTTTTCTCCTATTCTAATTAAATGAAGGTAATAATAAGAAAGGAATAATAATTCTGGAGTTGTATATAATAAAAATTTGTGTGATCGGTTACAAACAGTGTCATTTTACAGGCTCGTGATGACCACCGGATGGATTACTTAGTTGGCCAAGAAGTTATTCACTGGATTATCTTGGATTTCCTCTTTCTTAATCATTTTTCCCAATGCATATAGAGTAATAAACCTCCAAGCAAAAGATTCCTGAGTGCACATTAATAGTATCCTAAAAATACAAATAGCTTGTGAGGAGATCTTATATTTAATATATATAAAGCAATGCTAAATGTTCTGACTCAAGACCACATTCTTTGAAACAGAGTTTGTCTATGATAAGTTACATGAATTTATTTTGAAATTATGTGTGCAAAGAAGCCAGGATATTTTTTTAAAATAGAATTTAAATAGAATTAATTATAATTCCTCCAATATGTTAACTACAATTCTATAGAAATGTAACACTGGGATAAAAACTGTTAAGTGGACAGGGATATTTTCTTTCTCTTCAAGATGAGTTTTCTATCATACTGGGCATTTTCTGTTTCAAAGTTATTTGGCCAGAATAAGAAGTAGTTAAATTCCCATTATGTTTCTCTTACATAAATGCTTGAATAAGAAAGGTCCTTAGGGATCATTTCTGAGACGAGTACCCCAGAAAATTAAGTGAAGTACTACCTTCACTTTCAACTGCAGATGTAATTGACCAACAGGAAAAATGTTTTAACTAGTTGGTGCATATATGCAAGATTGAAAGAACAACAAGAAACTGGAAATATGCTTGGCCTATTGTGTGCCTGTAGCAATTAACTTTGAAGAGTTCACAAAAGGAACTTTGAGGAATTGGAAACTTTTGTGTGTAAGGAAAAAAGTTTATTTTTCTTTTCCTTTTCTCATTTTGGCTTTGCAATAGTAGTTGACTCCAAAAATCCATTGGCTATTCAAGTTCTAGATGCAATTAGAACTAAATTTAGAAGCCACTGATGTTGATTTCAGTTTTTCTGAGAGATGTTTTTCCTAATCGATGGCTGAATTTTAAAGTAGGGGTTTCCAACATTTGAAATGAGGAATCAGCCACAATAGAGTTTATAGACACTCTGATGCCACTAGAAGAGACAGGATTGGATTTTTGATCTTTAAGGTAGTTGCATTCTCCTCACCAGCTTTTAATCCTACACCCCGCAGAGTGGCTGCAGTGACCCTGCTTAGAGCATGAGCAGAATTGTTTCATTCACCCTATAATTAAGGACCAAGCAAAACGCCCAGAAGTCACAGAATTCATTTATAATCATGATACATTTCTCAACAGTGCACATATTTTACTATTCTGTTTTTTCCTTTGATGATTTTTTCCTTTGATGATTTTTACCTTCAAGAAATGTCACTTTTCTCCTTGGTAGCACTGAATAGGAGACATTTAAAATACTCTCTTCTTTCAAGGAGAATTTTTCTGCCCTGCAACAGATAGATCAGTTTCTACCTCAGATATCTGCAGACACAGTAAATTGGTCTGCCGTATTGTCACAGTTCTATTTAATAAAACCTACTGCTCATTTTTCTCATCTTATAATTTAGTAAGAGAAAAGCAGGAAAAAATACACTGAAACAATTAAATGATCATAGTTTGAGAGCTACAGAACTGACATAAAAACTACCTTTACTAGCTTACCTTTATGAGTCATATTTACATGGGTTAATCTGATGTTTTAGAATTCCAGTATATGAAACCTCATAATCATAATATATAATAAATTACTTAATAGCTTTTTTTAAAAAAATGGCCAGAACATTGGGTTTATACTCGAGTGTTTACCTCACATATGCATGAAAAATAAACAAAAGTTGATCAACAATTTCATGTTCACATTATCCAGGCTTTCAAGTGTAGTTGTTGTGTGCCAGTTAACTGTGTTTACGTGATAACAGACTTTTTCCTAGCATGTTTTTTTGCCCCAATATTTTGTCTGCTTGGCTTCTTTTTTGTTGTTGTTGCTGTGCTCCTGGTTGCTTCATTTATTTTGCTTTATTTTATTTTATTTGGAAAAAAGATGGTCATTATTTTCGGGGATTCTTACATTTGGCTCCTGTGTTTGTCTCTCATACTTTTCCATCCAACTGTGTCTGTGTTTTGTGCTTTCTTGTTTGAGATATGCAATTTATTTTGTCTTATACTTTTCTGTACAAAGGAATACTGTATGTTTTTTTTTTAAAAAAAAAAACACACACCAAGGCTTTCCTACTTACTGCAAAATGAGAAAGGTGCATGGTTCTACATTTGCTTTGGAATTAACATGGCTTGTCTTTTACTAGGAATGTACCACATGAGTGGATTTCACTTTCTTTAACCCGCGCTTCCCATCAGTTCTGGGAACAGGTCTGATGGCTTTAAACTCATATGGTCTTAACATTGCAGTTCATACAGATGCTCAAAATGTACAAAGCTGAGTCTCTTGTTTATGCCTTTAGAATCCAGAGACTGTGAACTACAGCTGCCTGTGTGCCCTAACCATACATCACATTTTTTCACCCAATATCCCTTTTCCCAAGAATTAACATCATTTTGTGATGCTTTCAAAAAGTCATTGCCACTGACATCTCTCATCTTTTTCCTTCTCCCAGATCCGCGTCGTGAAGGCATTCCGTAGCTCCCTCTATGAAGGTTTGGAAAAACCGGAATCTAGAACCTCCATTCACAACTTTATGACTCATCCTGAATTTAGGATAGAAGATTCCCAGCCCCATATTCCTCTCATTGATGACACAGAACTAGAAGAAGACTCTGTCCTCAAGCAAAAGCCGAGTCCCCCATCTTCGCTGAACAAGAACAATAGTGCTATTGACAGTGGGATAAACCTTACAACTGACACAAGCAAATCAGCTACCTCTTCTAGTCCAGGAAGCCCAATTCATAGCCTGGAAACATCACTTTAGCTGAAAAGTCACTGCAAAAATATAAATATAAATAATAATAATATATAACAGAGACAAATAAGTATAAACAATGCTGGCTGAGAAGCTGTTTGAATTCCTGATCACTTTGAAGAAACAGATAAATGAATGCATCATTAGTCACAGTGATTTTTGGAAGAATGAATGGTTGATTGATATATTCCCCCTTTTGTCTCCTGCAGAAACAAACAAAAACAGTACAAACGCTATCCTGCATGAATGTATTCCCCACTTCAACCCCACCTCCTTTTCGATTCCTTGAACAGAAAAAGGAGGAGACTTATTTGGAGCTATTTATCCAATTCACCAGTTTGTGAGTTTTTTAAATGCTTGTGTGGCATGGACTCAGTTGTATAGATTAATTTAAATATTATTTTTTGAAATTGCAAAGCTTAACTTGCACAGTAGATTTGCACCAGTTGGCCAGAGGAACCTAAAATGAACATTTATGAAAATATATATAGAAATATATAAATAATATATTATAACTATATATATATATATATATCCATATCTAAGCTTACACACATATACATATATTCATATATACTATATGTGCATGTGTGTGCACAAGTATGTATGTATATGTGTGTGTGTGAAATATATATATATACACACACACATGCACACATTTCTTTGTTGGCATGTTGCCTTTTTTCTGCTCAAATCATTCTATTTTAACTTATTTATGTCCTAAAAATAAAGAATGTAATTTGTTTACAGAACTGTAGATAATTTCCTTAACGTTTGTAGGTTTAAGACAGCACTACCTGCCGAGATCATTTACAATTTGCTGTGATCTGATTTTTGCCTGACAGGATTGGTGAGGATTTGGGGATGGGTGGGAAGTGGGATGGGGGTTATGTAGATACTGCTAGCAAATAACAAAGAAGCCAAAATATTACAAACTGGATGTAGCGCTGTGACCCCAAATAGAGGGTTCTGAACAGAAAGGCTTCCTTTGTTTTAAAAGAAATTTAAATAATCAGGTTTTTTGCTCTCTCTCTCGCTCTCTCTCTCTCTCTCTCTCTCTCTCTCTCTCTCTCTCTCTCTCTCTCTCTTAATGAATTGTTTCATTTCATCTTTATGCAATACTCAATAATGAGGCCATTTCTTTATTTAAATGTATTGCGACGGCTTCTTAAAAATATATTTTTTAAAACGACATTATAATAAAGTTCACTGGAGTTTCTGAAAAACTCAATCCATTAAAAAATAAGTTATATTTAGCTTTGTATGAAGGTCAGACTGATATTGGAATACTGTGTGATGATTCTGTTTTATTAAAAATGTAGACATTCATTTCTTGCAAAGTATGGGCTGTTGGCATTTTGGATGAGAACCACTGTGGTTTGTTGCTTCGATATTAAAAAAAAGAGAAAATATATAGTTTTCTGCACTATGTAGTTCTGAATGAAACTTTATGAAATGTATACTAATGTGCTTTGTGTGATTATTTTAAAAATAGTTTGTCTTCCCATAGTCACAAACGTATATACGGTAGTAGAAATTAACCAACTTTGATATCATATTGTGCTTTCTACAGGGAAAGCCCTTAATCACATCTGCTATGTGGTTAGGTTTTTTTTTTTTCAAGATGGTAACAGCCCTGAAAATATAGACACTTCTACAATTGTTATGTCAACCATTTGAATGCAAAACTCTTTGTGGGTCACAATTTTTTCATAACTGACTTTTCTATTTAGTACAAGGTTTGCTTGAAAACTTTTCAGCATATGATCTTTTCCATAAAACTGTATAGTCCGGGAGACATTTTGATTAACACAACAATACTAGAAGAGTGGGCAAAAGACCATTTTATTTAGCTTATCAACTTACTAGTAGTGATATTGCCTGCTGTTTTGAAGTTGTTTGATGAAACGGATCAACTCTGTAATCAGAAGAACCATTGCAAGCCAGAAACACTTCTGTCAAGATAAAGTTCCTGGCCAAATGTCAGCTTGAAATGAATAATAATCCAAGGCATGCTCATGACTATTCAGCCAGGAAAGTGCTAATCAACTTGAATTGCCAGCTTCTGGACTTTTCTAATATGGTTTTAATGTATTTTGACAATACACTCTTTGTTTTGATCCAAATGTCTGACAGAACAGCAAATGTTTCTAGATTTGTGCAGCCCTCTTCTCCACAGTGTTACCCATTTCTTAACTCTCGCAGCTGCAGGAAAGACCAGCTGATCACTTTATTCTTACAATCAAACTGAAAGTTTATCAGGGTTTAACCTTGGATTGTAAATAACAGTGACTAACTTTTGTGTAAAACTGAGATTCTATATTCTACATGGAATACCACATTTGAGAATATAAAGTCTATATACAGGGAAAAGCATGTCGATTTGAACTCAAATAACTACAGAATTATTGCTATTGGAATACATTCTGTTTTCAACATCTTAATGATTTACCTTTTATTTCAAGATTGGCTTTTTTCCCCTTGTATTTTTTCTTTAAGATTTCACTATGTGTGTGTGTGTGTGTGTTGTAATATTGTTTCCTAAATAACTAGAAAGTACCATTTGCTGACTTGAAAAACTGTTCAAAAGAAACCAGCACTCAATTCTGTACATACCTGGTTTTAAAAGAAAGAAAAAGAAGATTATATATCAATGTGATGCATAGGATTCTCTCAAGAACAACAAAAAAACTGTTTGTGCTTATGTACACATGAAAGAGCCTTTTTCAAGAAAACAGCAGAAATGGATGAGTTCAAAGAACCTTTTTGATTACCAGATGTGCATCATGTGCTTTTCTATTTGTGACAGGAGGATGATATGAAAAACTAAGATGATCTATATGTTGAAATTCACTGCAATATATAAAATGCTTGCTCTCTATTGTACCTGAAAGCATGAGATCTCTGGAAAAAAAAATACAGCAGTACATTTGGCAATCCATCCCACTAGGGGTTATTGTTTCTATATGTTTATTCATCTGTTTTTATGAATTTTTTAAATCTAGACAATAATTGTAAATAAAGAGCTCACTGTTTCTGTTCATTTAATACTATGCAAAAGATTTGTGCTTTTTATTGTTATTCTACAGTGTGATGCTGGAATGTTTGTAGTTTTAAAAACAAAACTATACATTACGACCCAACAACCCAAAAGTAAAATATTTGATATAAATTATTTTATAGTTTAAAATAATATTATGTTTTTCTTGCTGCTTTTTGTCGAATAAATATCTCCTGGCAGGGGTCAAGTGGAAATTGAAAATAAATAAATAAATTCAAAGGGCAGCATGAACAATAAATGTCTGAAAATAACATTTTTTATTTCCATTTTCCATTCACATTTTTGAATATATTTAATATAATTATTTAATCTATTTTATTCCAAACTATTATAAGTGTTTTGGCATTACCACAGAAAGAATTCTTTGTCAGACACAGTCTGCTGATGGAATTAAGCTCTTCATAAAAAATAAATAAATTCAAAGGGCAGCATGAACAATAAATGTCTGAAAATAACATTTTTTATTTCCATTTTCCATTCACATTTTTGAATATATTTAATATAATTATTTAATCTATTTTATTCCAAACTATTATAAGTGTTTTGGCATTACCACAGAAAGAATTCTTTGTCAGACACAGTCTGCTGATGGAATTAAGCTCTTCATAAAAAAATTTAGGCATTTGACTGAAAATCAGAAAGTTTTCCTTAAAGCATTTGTTATTAAAAACACTGGATTAAATTACAACAGTGTACATGGATCCATTTGGTACATCATCTGATCTTATATAGAGGATCAAATTATATTAATTACTCAAAATTATTTTGCCAAATGATTAGAAGATTTTTTGAGGGAATGAAATAAATTTATTATCTGTGCCTGTCCTCTGAAATGCTAAAGAAAGAATATTTTTCTTACCAATTTTAACTCTGCTCCAATTCTGAAATGCAGCAGAGTTTAAATATTTTCTCCTTAATAAATACCACTGTCTAAACTAAAACATCATTGGTATAAAAGTTCTCCAAAATTTTTATAATTTTTGCAGCAGAATTTTTTAGCATATGGCAGAAGTCAAAAATTCTGAGAATGCCTCAAATAGATGAAATGTCTATTTTGAAGGTGTTTTATTTTCTCCCTGGGGATTTATATGTCTTAAATGTGACTCTATCCATCATCACTTCTATAGCCATATTAAACAACAGTTTGATTTGGTTTAAGCTGGCCAAAGTCCAGATTTTCATGAGGCAAATCCTTAAACTACTCTTTAGATAATTATTTCATCAAGCTGTTATGCTCTTGTCTTTTATCATAAATTATAAGAGACAGAATTTCTTAAATCATCTCTTTTATGGAAGACACTATAGTTTTTAGAACAATATTTGAGTTTGACAGAGAATTTACATTATTTTAAGGTCTGATATATAAATTGTCATTTGATTTTGTGAATGGCAAGTAGATTTAAATCAATACATTTTTCAAGTAGCATCTAATTTTCTTATTTTGCTAAGAGTAATGAGGGAATATTGAAACAAATTGAGAATGGGCTGGTCCAGCCCAAGTCCAAAAGCTCAGAAGACTAAACCTCTGGTCATGGTAACTGATCCAGATTGGATCCTGCAACATCACCCTGGGACATTTATATTTGCCTTCATTCATGAAATGAATTAGTTATTTAATTTGATTCACTGAGATGCAAATTTTCCTGTAAATTCCAGTGATTTATATATTTAGTTGGTTAAAAAAAAGATCAGTGTTGAAATGACTTTTCTTTCAGTATAGTTATTTATTATTTCAGATAATCCACTTTATTTAAAAATATTCAAGACTTCCTTCAAATTTTGGGAGGTTCCAGTAAAGGAAAGCAATTCTTGTATACCAAATACCAGAGAGGTTTATACTTCTTTTCACCTTTTCCTTCAAGCACACAATTTTAGAAGGGCACATATGCAGCAGTGACAGATAAAGGTAACAATTGCCTAGCCTGCCAAATCAACCTAGTAATAAATGTTGTAGCCAAAATGTCTTTACAACACTTAGTACATAATGGAAAAAAATGGCAAATAATAGATTTCAAAATTGCAACAATAGATAATTTCATCTAGCCAAATCTTCTTAGGCCTTATAGGTGCACATTTATCCTTTCTTTTATTCAGAGTTTCATGGACTGTTTATTGGAGGTTGCCCTATAGTGTGATAACTCCATTGTTAGGGCAAGGCTCACATAATTGTTTTGTAGAAGGGGGGAGGGATAAGGATAGTACTTTGACTCTTGTCTTTTGTCATAAGATCAGTATGGTGCACCTTAAAGGCTGATTACCTTTCTCTCAAGGACCAGGAATCCAATAAATGATTCAGTTCACATATGGGAGGAAAAGTTCCTGTGTGCTATGATGGCACATGAAGTTGATGAAGTTACAAGGGTTTACTTAACTTTCCTCTCTTTCGTGGTTTGGATTGGTTGTTTCCTGCTTTGATCTGCATTAGTTTACTTTTGTGGAGGTAAGTACCGTATATACTATTATGTATATTCTTCCTTTGTCTTTTGCAGTTAGTCACAGCTAGGGCTCAATGTGGAAATCTTGGGCATTGACTTTAAAATTAGGCATTCTACTGAATAGCTGTAATTACATCAAATTACTGCCATATATGAATTTTATTTAGACCTTCAACTCCACAGAAATTATCTCAAAAAGCATTTGCTATTTACACACATTTAAGTCTCTTGTCCCATCCATGGAAAGGATTGTGCAAACTGATATATAACACAGTGACTAGATGGCTCACGTGTGATTAGATGTGCTATCTGGCCACTGCAATAAATATCAGTTTACACAATACTTTTAGTGGCTATGCATCTTTTTTCTGTTTTGTATTGAAGTGCAAGCAAAATTTGTGGACGGGAAGAGGATATTTTTATGGCCGACTTGGAAAGAATCAATTTCTAGATTAAAATATAGTTTTATACATTTGCTCACTCAGATCGAACTATAGTCCTGTCTAGATTTGGCCATCATTTTGAGAATAATGTATGGTAACAGATATTGGCCCTCAGATGTAACATAATGAATTCTTCAGCTAGTTTTCATAGTAGCTGGTATATATCCAGTTAGTTACCAATTATGTTTTTTTTTTAACTTCTGTATAATCAGAAAAATAATTGGACATGAAAGGAAGGTTGATGGGAATTACCTGCACTAACTGGACAAACATACCTATTCTAGACTGAGTCCAGATTTCTGCCTATATCATAAGAAGGATGTTGTGTTCCCTCACAGATAAGGGTCCTATTAAATGAACTAAATTGTGGCCCAGAGAATCAAAGGGAAGCATGGTAATGGCAAAACAGTAATCCTAACAACAAGAATAAGATTCAGATCATCAGTGAGAGGAGCAGTATTTGTTCCAATTCTATTTCTTACAATTTCTGTAACCCTCTACACTGCATTTCACTAATTCAACAAATGTAGTCCTTTTTCTCAAGAAACTCTTTTCTGAGAACTAAAGATGGTAAGTCAAGAATGGAAGATAATTCAGATAATTAAATCTTCAAATATTCCTATTGCTGATGTATTGAAATTTACGAAAAGATTCCTCATTTAAGTGAAATTAAATGACCTTTGCTCAGAGTTAAACATGTTTAAATAAAATCTACAAGCTGCTTACCAATAGCTGTATCCATTTCTTAATAGCTGCAGATCAACATTAGGAGGGTTACCTATTACTTTTAACCATCCAACCTATAGACACTAATGTAGTTGATCAAACTGGAAAGTTTAATGAAACTCTGAATGAATAGAAGCTGATACAAACTGAATGTGCTTGTTTACAGATTCAAAAAAATGAAATAGATATGTAAATGTGGACACCCTTCCAAATTTCTTCAATGCTGGTTAATTTTTAACAATCTCATAAAGTTAAGTTCCAAAATGGTGGTTGAATCCTCAGGTAGGTTTAGATAATTCTGCAGGTGAACAAGTAACTTTAACACAGTCAAGTTCTTAGTGGTGATTTTTATTCTGTCAATTTTCAATAACATGGGCTTCTTTCAAGGATAACGTGAGCATTTGAAAAAGAAGATTCTGTCGTTTACAAAGCAGGGGCAGGACAATTAAAATTATCTAAATGTATCCAACATTTTAACATTAGGAAATATTGCTAAGAAAAGGAAATTGGAGGTTTAAAAAAAAAGATGAAGTTTTTGAAAGAAAAGCTATCTTGCCAATCATTACAGATGGTAGCGGCTGTTTTATGTTTTGGATTTCTCTGGTAGTCAGTGGTAAGGGAATATTGTGCAGTTGAAAGGAAGAATGAATTCAAGTACATATCAGCATGCAGCATGTAGAAAAGAGATTGGACATTTCAGCAAGACAACCATGAATGAGTTCTTGGAATAATAGTCTTCAGAGTTATTATTGAAAATCTGTGCAGAGATCTCAAACATGCAAAGATACTTAATAGCATTTCTGGTTAGAAGAATTCTGCAAGGAAAAATGGGGGAAAAACCCAAAAGCAAGAACAGAATGACACTTAATTGGATACTGGAAACATTTGGAAAGCTGTTATTTCCACCAAAAGAGATATTACAAAGTACTGAGTAAAATGATGTTCAAAATTCTACATCAGCCAAATTCAATGTTGTTGTTTTTTAAAAAAAACTTTGCAGTCGATAAATAACTGCTAATTGAAACACAAATGGAAACATGACAAGGCTCCTATGGAAAGAATTATTTTGGTCACTATTTTATTTTCTGAAATTGCTATATATACAGCTGAACCTTTACCTTAACTTAGCTTAGAAACTTTACCTTTAGCTAAGGTAAATCAGTATACACTGATGGTTATATACTCTGCAGCAAATTAACCTTAAGATATTCCTTGCATACAGTAATTGCAGGAGTTGTTGCAAATGAACTGTTTAGGCTATTCAAAAGAATGGTGTACTAATAAGAATCTCATCAATTAAGCCCCAATGCAGTTTTCAATCTGCATTGCTGAAGCGTTCTTATTCAAATCTGTAGATTAGAACTCCTTTATCATTTTCAAGCGGATGG